TGGAACTAGAAAACATAGTATTTAAAATAAAATATTTATTAGCTAGCAACAGCAGAAAGAATACAGATTAAGAAAACAACAGTGAGCCTGGCTGGTGTTGCTCAGTTGTTGACCATCAACCTATGAACCAGGAGGTCACAGTTCAATTCCCAGTCAGGGCATGTGTTCCAGTTGCGCTTGATCCCCACTAAGGGTTGTTTAGGAGGCAACCAATAGATGATTCTCTCTCATCACTGATGTTTCTATCTCTGTCCCTCGCCCTTCCTCTTTCTAAAATCAATAAAAACATTTTTTTAAAAAAGGAAAACAACAGTGAATTAAAAAACAGATGAATTGAAATTATACAAAAGTAAACTGATTAAATGGGCTTTCCTTAAATTTTTTTTTTTTTTTAATATTTGGAAACAGATTAGGCTTCTTTGAAATAAAATCTTTTTTTTTTTTTTTTTTTTGAAGGGGTAGAGTAAACTTTTTTTCTTCCTCATGGAATATTGGCTATAAAATTTAATGACAAACTAATTTTTCCTCCAGAAAATACCTATTTTCTGTGCTCCCAGTCCCAGACCAAACTGTAAATATCTCTCTTCATATCGTTATATTCATACTGAAATGTTCTTAGCACCTACCTCCTTCCTCTCAATTAAGTGCCTTTTCAAGACAAGAATAGGTTTTATGTTTCTTTTGTGTGTGTGTGTGTTCATCCACAGATTTCTGACCAGGCACATACTCAGCATTTAATATTTGTTTAACAAACCGAAATAGCCATTAATATAAATGTTTTATTAATATACAAAATTTAAAAGTTGCAATAAAAAATTAAATAAGTCAAATGCCACTGTACTAATATTTATGAATAGAATCTAAAATAAAAGAGTTTACTGTAAGAGGTTTTTAAGTACAAATATAAAAACATCTACTATTCATAAAGTATATAAATGACTATGTTGTACACCTGAAATTAATATACTTTATCGAACTATAATTTAAAAATAAATTTAAAACAGTTTTAGAAAAAATTGTTTTTAAGTCTCCTGTTTTTTTGGTTTAATTCATTGGTTCATCTTTAACACCTGTAGTAAAAGAAAAATGTCTAGGAAAAATAACATTCTTTTTTAAGTAAGGTTTAAAAACATTAATGAAAGTTTATACAAACTGAACACTGCTGTGTCAGTCATTATCCCAATGCAGGCTAAAGGTAGAATAAAATAAAATATAATGCTGAAGTTAAGATATAAAAATGATTGCTTTAAGAGATAATATAACAAATAAAACTCTTTACATGTCAAAGTTATTATTTATGTACATGAGCATATAACCTGATAAAACTATCCTAAATCTTTTCATTTTTAAGGTGAACAACGCATTCTAGAAAAGGCAGTAGAAAAAGCTAGTTAATATATACCTAAGATTATAAAAAAGGACGCTTGTCTCTATCATTAAGAAGCTTAAACAGATGCTAATATAAATGCTGATGGAACGTAAGAGAACATTACAAAATTACATAAATGACATTAAAAATAAACTAGAATTCACAAGATAAAACATGTTAGTTCCAAATTGTATAGCCTTAGCCATTTGCTTTTGAAAACCTATAAACTTTCCATTAAAATAATGGACTTTATTGTTCATTTACTGTAAGGTTAGGCAGGCTGATATGACAAAAGTCAGTTGCTAACTAAGCCTTCATACATCACCATAAAAGCAAAGGTGAAACTGTCAATAATATAATATAATACAGTAGCAAATGCTCAGAAATTACTATGCATGTGTTACTAATATTCATTGGAAGATTAGCCTTTAATCATTATAGACAACCAAACTCAAGACATGTACATATAAATATCACATGTTAACATAAAGTTTGTTAATGTACAGCATTAAATTAAGAATGCTATCAAATTTCTTCTTTGGTGGGTGTATGTGTGTGTGTTTTTGTGTCTGTGTTGGGGAAGGACATCATTAAAGATTCTAATAAGCTTAAGGAAGTTGCCTAAAAACACTATCAGTCTATAGCACACATGCTATTGAAATTAAATGCAACAGGGGTGTTCTTAGGATCTTGTTAATTTGAAAAATCCAATTTTCTCTAATATTTTAATTAAGCCACAATTTTAGAATCCCATTAAAAAATAAATGGTTATGTATATACTTAAAATGGCCTTAGCAACTCTGAGACTTTGTCCTTCTTATTTTTAAGTTACGCATTCAAGTTTCAAGCACAAGAAAAAAACATTTCATATATTTGAAGGTTTGTACTTAGCAATACAAAACTGGATACTTCTTTCTTCACTTCATCTAAAAAAACCACACCTCTTCCTCCCCAAAGTAACTTCCTCCAACTTTTACCAGGCATTGTTTTTATTTTCACTAATTCTTCTAACTACTATGAGAAAGTTCCAATTAGGCACTCATCCTTTTTAATACCTTTGTTATGAATTATTCCCAAGTAACCAGGGAATAATCTATCATTCAAAAGTAGGCTTAGAGATTAGGTTTGCATAATAATTAGCTGCAGACAGTCATAGAGGAAGAGTGTAAGGAGTTGGCACCAAAAATAGCTGGAGTGGATATGGGTGGATAGTTGGGACTCATAAATAATGAAAATGTACTAAAAGCATTAGGCAACAAACTCTTATTCATGTCAGGCTCACATTAGAGTAATTATGCTGGGAAGGAAAGGAAATTTCTAAAAAAATGTCGATGCTTAACCAAATAATTATAAGCTTACTCTGAAAGTGTAAAGAAAAAAAAATTCAAGGTCTACTTTTCTCTGCTACAAAGAAGGTATGTGACTTATTTTATCATATAAATCTGTCAGTCCTATTGCTGAGGAAGAACACATTTTGATCATACACATTCCCGTACCCTTTCCCTTCCAACAACTGATAGACTATTGGCCAACAGTAAAATTTTTCAAGTCTGTTTTAAATGTAACTTCCAACCTCGTTTTTTCCACACCTAGAAAATCTCATTCATAACATTTCTTTATGCTCCTTTAAAAGTTTGTACATTCCACTAAGAAGGGTTTTTTTTGGTCAGAAAAGAGTAAGGATATTTCACAAGTAAAACTTTACAGTGATTTTTTCTTCACCCATAAAATGGGGAGTAATAATAGTACCCACTTCAAATGGTTATTATGAGGACTAAATGAAATAATGCTTTTAAAGTGATTAGCACATTGCCTGATATTCAAGTGTCAATGACTCTGAGATATTATCACCATGGGAAAACAATTTATATTGACTAATTATTTCACAGAATAATCTCAGAAGAGTTAACACTGACTGTTAATTGCTAAAATTTACATCGCCAGTGCCTGGCATGCACCCAATAAATATGGTTTGAAACTATACATTCCTCTCAATGTGAGTTACTCAGCAGTAACCAGACAAATACAAATCTACTCCCACTTCCTGATACCTCCTCCCAAACTCTAGGCCTGATTCATTTCCAGAGTTTTATACTAAAACCATTCAGGCCAGTTAGAAATAAAAATCTCTAATAATAAAAGCATAATATGCTAATTAGACTGGATGTTCTTCCTACAGACAAAGCCGCAGCTGCAGAGGTGGCGGGCAGGGGCCGGGGTCAAGGCCCTTGCACAAATTTCGTGCATCGAATCTCTAGTGTAAATATAAAAGGTTCTTTACACCTACAAGATAACTTTGTTTCTGATTCTTTTTCTTATGGAACTCTGATTGTATAGGGACAAATGCAGCAAGTACCTATTTGATACATTATTCTTCAGTATAAAATTTTTTATAATCTTTAGATTAAACATTTTTTTAATTTAAAAAAAATTAAAATTTTTTTGTTTTGTTTCTTTCTATTTTACTCTTTCAGAATAAAACTAAGATCATCGAAAGATAAATGCAATTATTTAACATAAAGCTTCTTGTACTCTATCTATAATACAACACTATTATAGCTAAAACTACTTTCCAAGACATATTGATAGCCAGGGAACAACACAACCTAGGTTCAACCAAGCAGATGTGCTAAATGAAGATGTGTGTAAGGAGGAACTAGACAGCCTGAGTTGGTAGGAGAAGAACAGGTAGTAGAGTTTTATTCATCTGGGGTTGTCAGTGGTGGCTACCACTTACTGAGTGGGTCAGGAGCATTCGAGTTGGTAGTTTGGTAGCAGGCCAGTGCTGTGGTGTAGTTCTAGTTGTTTTTAGAAATTTAAAATATACTCTTTTCCTTTAGCTCTCCCAATATGTCTGGAAATTATCTCATTCTTTTTAGTAAATAAATCCCTTTCTGCTTAACTAAGCTGATTTGGACTCTGTTGTCTGAAACTAAGAACGCTGACCAATATCCAGAAAATAAAGAACATACCAATGAAACTCAATAAACTCATCTGTCTATATAAATTTCAAAAATATACATAACTAAAAACAAGCACAGTGCTTAAAAGTCTTCATTACAGTTTTACATTTGTGAAGGTAACTGAAAGTAGATTTGAAACAATATTATTTAATAATACTGGTGATATGACAACTAATTTCTATGTAAGAATCCCATGTAGGATTGGTCAGTTGTTATTAATCAAGCAGTGGCAGCAGTGGGGGCGGGGCCCGCTGCCAGCAGCCATGGGAAGAAAAGCCCCGATAGGCCCTGATCGCCAGCCAGGCCTAGGGACCCTACCCGAGGGGTCCTGCCCAGATTGCAAGAGGGCGCAGGCCAGGCTGAAGGACACCCGCTCCCATGCATGAATTTCGTGCACCAGGCCTCTAGTAGGTAGTAATGAATAATCTATTAAGAAAAATCATTATGTAAACATCATTTCCTAATACTTTCTCTTCTGAACTAAAGTAACTTTTTAAAAGTCTACTGGCCTATTAAAACAGATCTGTTCAATAGCTTAACCAAAGCAAAGATAGACTGTCAAAGGCAATAATCTTTTTCATTTATCACAAGAGTGGCAATTAATTTATTAGCTTGACAATCAACTACACTGCTAGTTATATTCGCAAAAGTCAAATGACATAACTTACCGTGCACAAGGATGTCTTTGTGATTTTCAGGGTAAAATCTGAAGAAAACTCCAAATCTGAGACAGACGTTTTATGGCAATCTATATGCTACCCATTAAAAGAGTGAAGAGAATAATTTAGTAAAAATAATAAAAACAAAACAAAAATACAGATAAGTACTTCCTTTTGTACAAAAAAGATTACAGTAAACTAATGTTTCAAAAACTTTAATCATTTACAACCCACTTTTGGGATTGTTTCCAAATTTAAGGGTTACTAGCACTATCACTTAGTTCATTTTTTTAAAAAAATCAAATTAGTATTATTTATTTGGACTTCTTGTAAGAATAGCGTAGTGGCTCAAATCATGGCTCTGATGTGGTAAAGTTTTTTCTAAAACATAATAAAGTACTTTCAAATAAAAAAATGTTTCCAATTAAAATTGTGTATACCACTAGTGGAATACATTTGCTAGAAATTGTGTGATAACAGTCATTTTTTATAGGGAATGCCAACTTAAAAACATATCCTCTCTCTATATAAAAAGCCAACAACAAGAACACCATAACGACCAGAATGACTGGTTACTATGACGCCCACTGCAGCCAGTGAACCTGCTGATCAGGGGGTGGAGCCAACCAGCCAACCTCCTGCAGCCCCTCCCCCCAGCCTGCCCCCACCTCCGATGGGCCCCCACCACCCCTATTGACCCGTAGCTCCTCCCGCCAGCCGGCCCCACCCCTGATTGGCCCCCCCACTCTGGTCAGGGGCAGGGCCAGCCAGCCAATCACCCATGGCCCCTCCCCCATGCCGATGGCCCCTGATCGACCCCCACCCTATTCAGGGGTGGGCTGGTTGGCCCACCACCCACAGCCCCTCCCCTTAGCCAGTTCCACCCCCGATCGCCCCCCCACACCAATCGGGGTGGGGCTGGCCGGCCAACCTCCCAAAGCCCCTCCCCTGGCTGCTGACCCCTGATTGGCCCCCTGTACCCCAATCTGGGGCAGGGCCCACCAGCCAATCACCCACGGCTCCTCCACCAAGCCAACCCAGCCCTGATCAGGCCAATTGGGGTGGGCTGGCCGGCCAACCTCTTGCCATCTCCTCCTCCCAACAGGCCCAGCCCGACCCCACCAATGCACGAATTCATGAACTGGGTCTCTAATCCTATATAATAAAAGCCCAATATGCTAAGTGTCCGGTCGTCTGCTTTACCAATCAAAGTGTAATATGCTAATGATATGCTAAGGCCGCTCAACAGCTCACTATGACGTGCACTGACCTCCAGGGGGCAGACACTCCGACTGGTAGGTTAGCTTGCTGCTTCGGTCCAGCTGACCGGGACTGAGTGAGACGGGCCGGACATGCCCTGGAGCCCTCCCTCGGTCCCTCCCCGGCTAGCCAACCTCCTGCATAACCTCCCTGGCCCTGATCATGTACCGGTGGGGTCCCTCGGCCTGGCCTGTGCCCTCTCACAATCCAGGACCCCTCAGGGGATGTCAGCTGGTTTTGGACAGATCCTGCAGGCCAGGCCAAGGGACCCCACTGGTGCACGAATTCGTGCACTGGGCCTCTAGTACTAATGAAAATAACAGAGTGATTTACAATTCATTTTGTAATGGCAACTGAAGATAAGTTTGTTAGATATTAACAAACCAACTATGAAGATTCAACTAAAAAAAAAGTCAAATATTCTCATTTTCCCAATCTGCCCTGGTTCAAGTCCTTTTCCATTTATTATGGAGAGTAGATGGAATCAGTTATAGTAGTGTGACCAGAGTATGTTGTAAGATTAACAATTGACTTTACATGAGTAGATTATAACACTGTAGACACAATTCATATGATTATATACCTGAACCATTACTCTATTTTAGATAGTTTTAGAAAATTTGAAAGTTGCAAAGTGGCTGCCTTTTATTTGTAGGGGACGTGGGAGCACAGAATGAACTGTATTTACTTAAACAAATAAATAACTGATTAATGTTTAAAAAAAGAGAAAGGGTATACTTTTTAAACACCTTCATCTTTCAGTCCTAAATTCTGTATTTCCACTATTTATTCATAGCATTTTTTGGCACTAAGCAAAGAGATCACTAGGGTGAGAAATTAGCCCTTCCCTCCCCCCACGTAATCCTCTTCCTTCTGCTCAGCCTTAGGGCTGAGTTGGCTATAACTGTACACTCCTACCCTGAGCCAAAGTATCCAAATAAATCCCTTACTATCAGTACTAGAGCACTAAACAGTCCTATAATCATGAACCAGACTGTATTTTTTTCTTAAAAGCTGAATGCAATTTTAATAAGCTTGCTCTTACTGAAAAACTTTACATGTTTATTATTCTATGCTAATTTTAAATACTTTATCCATCTAAGAGAATTGATAAACATTTACTGAATATCTTCTTTGTGTAGAAAACAATTTTTGATGTTATGAAAGTAACAGTGTGAGTAAAAAGAGGAAAGAATGTTTGAACCAAACACTAAACAATCTATATTTATCTAATTGAAACAAACAAATTAAGGAGTTGTAAGAAAGGCAATATGTTATTATTCAACCCATGTAAGTTTGACATAGCAAAATTCATAAAACTGGATATTTACAGGGTGAAAAATAAGATATTAAAACACTAAAGAAATTAACTGAACATTCTGAACATAGTTTAGTTCAGTGGACAAATTCACTGTACTTACTCTGCAAGGGATAGAAGAAGTCTGAGTAGGACAAGCTAAATTGTGTGAAATATATAATATGAATGAATTGTCTGGCTATTAAAGGGAAGCTAGAATAAAGCCGGGAGGTGGTGATGAAGCAGAAATGACTATATAGCAGGACAGGACTTTTTACCTTCACTAAGTCAAAAGTAAATCACTCAACCACTGGAGTATAAGGAAGTTCAATATATCAAGAGAAGTGATTTCAAAGAAATGATATAGTCAACTGGTACATATTATGACTTTAAGTTGTTTTAGACTGATTAAAATAGGAAGAATAATTACTGTTTGAAATCTCACATATAAAATCAACATTAATTTCAAATACTAATCTCAGAAGTGAAAACTAAGAAATGTGGCAATACTATTAGAGAAAATAAAATTGGTAAAACACCTACCTTAATACTGTAAGCGTCTGAAATAAGAGTCTTTGGATCTAAAATTTCCACAACAGCTTCTGGAATAACTGCTTTCTTCATGCAGGACATGTTGAAGCCATAGACATCATCCCAAAAAGCAATTCTATCAGCATGTTTATTCACATCACTTACTGCCACAAGGCTGATAGTGCAAATATCAGGGTAGACTGTAAGAAATAAAATATCCAACAATTTAGCATTATCTCCCTTTATTACAAAACAGAATTTTAAAAGGCTAAATATAAGTATCAAATCCATCAGTATGGCTCACTAGCAATTGACTACTAACAGTGGGGGATTTATGAAGGTATAGATAGCTCATGGAAAATAACCAAGTCCCATCGTGTAGCTCCCTTAAAAAAAGAAAAGATTTCCATTATTGTGATGGTAAGATTAAAATAAGGATTTCACCAATGGGTTGCTATTAAAATAATTAAAAGAGGATGGCATAATTAGGTAATCCTGAAATGAACATATTTATTAATATTAAACTTACAGTATGATGACTTTTAAAAGGTACTAGATCTTTATATATAGCTTTGAAACATGCAGAGAGGGACAAATCATTTAAAAAGATAGTATCTTAAAAATTCATGTGATGGAATATTATAGTTGTGTAGAAGACCACTTCATATCACTGAGGGGATATATTCAAGGAATATTTAGAAGGCCGAATTCATAGTACTTTAAGACTGGCTGGCTATGGAGGTGAGGAATAGGAAAGAGTCAAGGATGACAGTTTTTAGCTTTATAACTGGGCAGAATTGCCGGGAGCTGGTCCATGCTTGCTGTTTCAAGGGACCTGGCATATATGGCATACTGTTCTTAATATGTTTGCTCACTTTCTTGGCACTATGTGTTTTAACCAAGGTCTCTGAGAAAGGTTGTTTCCCCAGGTAGGGATTTTCCCCTGAAGTTAGGGAGGGAATAAAACCCCTCAACTAAGTGCCAGGTGGGTAATTAATCACTTTAACTACGAACAATCATGCTTAAGCTACATAATCTTTACTCCCTGGAATGGAGATAAGAAACGCCCTAACCTTTGGAATAGAGATTGATAGGATTGAATCAACTGGTATAAATACAGATGTAATAAGACAGCTAGAGACAGAACTTAGAATACGGAACCAAGAGAGACAGAACCTAGGCACAGAACCTACACAGAACGTTCTCTAGAGACAGAAGAACTTCGCGGGAGAGAACATGGCAAAAGATCCTGGACTGAACCTGACTACAGAAATTGGCAAGAGAACCTGACTAGAACCCGGTGACTGAACCTGGCTGGAGAACCTAGTGAGGGAACATGGCTACAGAACCTGGCTGGAGAACCTAGCAAGAGAACATGGACACAGAACCTGGCTGGAGATCCTAAGCAGAACCTCTCTGGAGATCCAGACCAGAACTTGGCTGGAGATCCTGGCTGGAGATCCTGGCAAGGCTGCTGATCAACTGAACGCTGTCTCCGCGTCATTCCTTCTTCGCCGACTCCGTCCACACCTTTGGGAACCCCTGGAACCCGCTGGGGTTGAACCCTGGCACAGAATGTGGTACTAACCATTATAATATGGAATAAATAAGGGCAGATTCAAGAGAAATATGAGAGTTTAATGCTTATGACACAAACGGGTAAAAATATCCACCAAGCAGCTGAATATAGGTCTGAAATTCAAAAGAGAATCTGGGCTCAAGATATAAATTTGGGACCATGAGCATATAAATGAAAATTAAGTTATGGGAGCTCATGAGGTTCCTAAGGAGAATACATGATGAGTAACAATTTAAGAGATGTGTAGAAGAAAAGGATATTGAAAAAAAATGGCTGAGAACCTGGGGTCACAGGAGTAAGAGGAAAACCAAGTGTTAAGAGCATTAAGGGAAGAGAATGATTCAGGAAGAAACTCTCCTCTGATAACAAGCATAAATCTTTATAACAAAAATTTTTAAATAATACTGATTTCTTTTTATTAATAAATAAAAAATGAACTTTGTCCTTCAAATGTATCAACATGAATTATCACATTATCATAAATTAAAATATAAATCACATTTTCCTATAACAACAAATTGAAAGCAAGTACCTATGTACCAAAGAAATGCACAAAAGAAGTAATTTTATGACTATCACTTAGCCTTCAGACTTAAGCAGTAGAGAAATAACTTTTTCTTTCCCCCAAACTTTGTTTCTATCCATAGCCTTAGGAATTTTATTATTCAGTGACAACAGCACTAAATTATCTTCCAAATAAAGCCCATGATAAGATTTGCTGGCATTAAAGCAATTGCTTCTTCCACACCTGACATGCGAGACTCCAAGAATAAATACTTGGTGCTATGCCACTGATAAGAAGTTTCTCCAGTCCTCCTTACAGAGGCCTGTCAGGCAGATATGAGAGCTGGGCTAGTCTACTTCCATGTAAATTCAGATACTTCTACTCTCCTCTACAGACTTGGTAAGCCTCTTGCCTATGCTTAAATTTTGGATACAAATTCTTCCAAGTAACTGATTTGTTATTGAAAATGCTAACCGAGCAAAAATATCAGCTACATGAAAGTATGTTTAGTTTCTTACACCAATCTTTAAGATAAGAAACACTGAAGAAACAGAATTCTGAAGCAACTTTAGATATTTGGAAACTTCTTTATGCATTTTTTCTGGGACTCAGTATGACAATAGGAGAAGCCTTCCTACATTATGCTGTCACAGACAATCCTATATAATGAAAGTGTAATATGCAAATCGACTGAACAGCAGAACGACCAGTTGGCGGGGGGTGGGGCCGGCAATCAGGCGGCGCCAGGCCAGCCAAGGCACATGCCAGCAGGCAGAGGTAGGGAATGGCAATGTGGGGGGTGGGGGTGACCAGCGGTGGCAGAGAGGTGATCAGGGGCCCACCCAGCGGCCTCCTGCAGAGGGAGACATCCCCTGAGGATTCCTGGACTGTGAGAGGGTACAGGCAAGGCTGAGGGACACCTACCTCCCAGTGCATGAATTTTTGTGCATCGGGCCTCTAGTACATAAATAAATGAGCATGGCTAATGTTCCAATAAAACATTATCTACAAAAACAGGCAGCAGGCAGGTATAGATACCTCTGATATAGAGAAATGGATGAGGGAGGTTTCAGGGCCACCATATTGTACTACTTCAGAGAGTGCCACTCACACTGCAGTCTATGGGAAATGAATATCCTCTGGAATGCACAAATATTCAATTCACTTAACATTGTTCATAGAGTCCTTCTATTTTAGGATATTATTTTAAATCTTAGTGAAATTTAAAAAATATCATCTCTTTATCAGGAGTTGGCAAATGACAGGCCATGGGTCAATTCAGCTCACTGCCTGTTTTTATAAATAAGTTTAATTGAAACACTGCCATGGTCTATGGCTGTTACTGTGGTAAAGCTGAGTAGTTGGGAGAGAAACTGTGTGGCCTATAAAGCTGAAAATATTTACTATCTGCCCTTTGGTAGAAAAAGTATGCTAACTTCTGGCTTTGTATCTATTAAGCAGTATGATCCTATACTAATATAATAAAAGCCTAACATGCAAATTGACCGAATGGTGTAACGACAGGTGGAATGATTGGTTGCTATGACGCGCACTGACCACCAGGGGGAGGACACTCAATGCAGGAGCTGCCCCCAGCCTGCAGGCCCCAGGCCAGCCAAGACGGGTGCCAGCGAGGGACCCCCTGATCGCCCTGCCTGTCGCCCCGCAGAGGGAGGTGACTGGCAGTGGCGGTGGCGGGCAGGACCAGCAAGTGGGTGGTGCCAGGCCGGCCAAGGTGGGTGCCAGGGGGGTCCCCCAATCATCCTGCCAGTTGCCCCACAGGTCAGTCCCGATTGCCAGCCAGGCCTAGGGACCCTGCCTGTGCACAAATTTTGTGTACCGGGTCTCTAGTTTACTAATAATTATTTCTACTAAGAATTAAGGATAAGTTTTTCATAAGGAAAAAATGGTATCTCGGCGAGCCGCACCACGCCGGGAGCTGAGTCCGCGTGAGAGGAAAAGATGCTGGAACCACAGGAGAATGGCTTGATTGACCTACCAGATGATGAGCACGTAGAAGATGAAACGTTTCCTCCGTTCCCTCCTCCAGCTTCTCCAGAGAGAGATGATGAAGGAGCTGAACCTGATGACGAGTCAGGAAGAGGAGCACCTGTTCCTGTACCTCCAAGGAGAACAGTTAAAAGGAACATCCCCAAGCTTGATGCTCAGAGATTGATTTCAGAGAGAGGGCTTCCAGCATTAAGACATGTGTTTGATAAGACAAAATTTAAAGGTAAAGGTCATGAGGCTGAAGACTTGAAGACGCTAATCAGACACATGGAGCACTGGGCACATAGGCTATTCCCTAAACTGCAATTTGAGGATTTTATTGACAGAGTTGAATACCTGGGAAATAAAAAGGAAGTTCAGACCTGTTTAAAACAAATTCGACTTGATCTCCCTATTTTACATGAAGATTTTATTAGCAATAATGATGAAGTAGTGGAAAATAATGACCATGATGTAACTGCTACTGAATTAGATCCATTTTTGACAAACGCATCTGAAAATGCGACGTTTGCTTCTGAGTCAAGTAGAAGCCTAACTGAAGAGCAACAGCAAAGAATCCAGAGAAATAAACAGCTGGCCTTGGAAAGAAGACAGGCAAAGCTACTGAGTAATAGTCAGTCCTTAGACAATGACTTGTTAATGAATACATCCAGGGCACAGACAGTTGAAGATGTTAATACGGGTGAGGATCAAAACAAGGAGAAGTCAGATGAACTTAAGGAAGACATTCTAGATAATCTGCATAATGATGCTGCTGCCAATACTGTAAATGAAGAGGAGGAATTAAAAATAGAGAAAACTCAACTGGACCAGTCCTTTTAAATGTACAGCATTAACTTTATGCTTCATTCCGAAAAGTTACTGAGGTTGAAGAGTCCTCAACTAAAAGGAAATTAATTTGGTATCCTCAAAGTTTGAGATTACTATATATTTTGTCTACTTTGAGTGAAATCCTTATGTAGTAAAACCTTTACAGATTCCTGTTTAAAATCTGGTATTTATAATTATACTTGCTTCTCATTAACTTTAGTTAAGCCTATTTATTTTCTTTAGTGTTGTATATAGATATGACTTCATAACAATGACTGGTAGTTAATAAGCACTTTCTGCTGCCAGTGTGCCATTCTATGCCTTGTTTTCACTAAATTAGGTGGAGTTTTAAGATGTAAATATATATGAATATTAATTTCCATTTAAATAAAAGAAATAAAAATCTTATCAACTATCTAAAAAAGAAAAAAAAAAGAAAAAATGGTATCTCACTAAAAGTAATTTTGAAAGTTTTGAAAATATGTTGATAATAAAGAAATAAAGAGGAATATGATTTTACTTTTTCTAGTGGTGAGCTAATCATATTTCAAGCTAATCACATTTCACAAAAGTACAGAAATATCATAGTTTTTATATCTGTTAGAATTTAGAAATGAAATTACCTTTTAGTTACTAAGTTCTATGAGTATTCATAAAGGACTTGTAATCAGTGTTATAGGTGTGTTTGGTTCTATATCCACCTCCTCACAGCTGGCTAAAATGTTGGGCCACCTGCCCGAATCCTGACTAACCCTTTACCTTCACATTCTGACACATCTGTCATTTGATTTTTGTCAGATAGAAGCATAATTGAATAATTATTCCTCCTTGTAGGTGAAATTAACAAAGCGCTGATTGGACAAAAGCACCCTCTTAACAGACCATTTATAAATTCACAGCTTTGACATCTGTGTCCTTCTCGATTCATTGCCCAGAATTCATTTGTCACTAGAACAGCTCACATTGTGAATAGATAAAGGTGGGAAAGCCTTTATCCCTTAGAAATGCCTCACAAACTTTTGGACACTAAAGGGTAAGACTGAGCTGCATAAAGAAACAATTCTAGTAAACACTAGCATCATTACTTGTATAGAACAAGAGAGTAAAAAGTTTAGAACTAAAGAAGATAAAAATAAAAATAAACTGTCCTTTTTACAATACCTATATATAAAAGCCTAAGCGATCATCCGACCAGCCAACCGTCTGACCAGCCGAACATCTGGTAGCTCTGATGTGCACTGACTACGAAGGGGCAGACGCTCAATGCACAGGCATGGAAACATGAAACAGACTGATGAATCTCAAAGGGAAAGGAGGAGGGGAGATGGCGCGAAGAGATTAACCAAAGATCGTATATGCATACTAGAGGCCCGATGCATGGATTTGTGCACTGGTGGGGTGCCTCGGCCTGGCCTGCAAAGATTGGCCTGAAACCGGCCCAGTGTATGAATTTGTGCACCAGTGGGGGTTCCTCAGCCTGGCCTGTGGGGATTGGGCCAAAACCGGCTCTCCAACATCCCTCAAGGGGTCCCAGATTGTGAGAGGGCACAGGCCAGGCTGAGGGACCCCACCGGTACACGAATCCATGCACCGGGCCTCTAGTAGAGAAATATTTGATTGAAATAACAGTTAATTATAAAATTATTGATAGGCAGAAGAAAAAATGTAGTTCTAAGTCACTAAGTCAGTAAATATTTTGGGAGTTGAACAAGCCTAAAAACTGATTTCCAATTTACATAATAAGGGTATCTTAAAACACTTAAGACTTATTTGGAAATTGGAAACATTTTCCCATCATTAATTTATAATAGTGACTAAGCCACTAAAACTTAGCTAGGCTAAAATGTACTGAAAAATTATGTACTAAAAAAAGTATAAGTTAATATTACTACAATATCACTGGAAGAAAACAAAATAATAAATCTGAGCAAACAGATCTGATGATGAGGAAGCAGACAGCGAGTTCTGGAAACACTAAAGGAAACCTCAAAGCACTATGAACCACTGCCACTAGCTGATGGCACACTGACATAAGTTATGCAAAAGTCAAGTGCTATGTAAAATGCAGGTGTTAATACCATGACTGCTTAAATTCATTTCCCACTTGTAAAAGGTAAAAACCTAACACTAATCTCTTGTTTACCAGCTGTAACTCAGGAGGGAAATTGACATTTATTGAGTAACTATGTTATATCAAGCCATTTAGACTTTTGACTGATTCTATAAAGGTGGATTACAGATTTTTTTACAGATAAGGAAACTGAAGTTCACAAAAATAAACTAACCTGCTCAAATTACTGGTTTAATTAGCTAACCAGATAACTAGTTAATTGACAAACCAGGGATTCAATTTACGATCTATCTGCAAAATCTATGTGCTTTCCATTATGCCACATTTATGTTTTTCCGAAGGAAAACAGAGAAAGAGGAACCCCATTTTCCTAAGGACACTTATTGAAAGAGGAAGAGGAGAAACGGTTGAGAAGAATTGGAGATTAATAAGATTTCAGGGCAAAATGAAGAAAATGGAAATGTTCAGCTTTACTCAGCCTGAGTTAAAAAAAAATGAGATGGACAAAAAGAAATACTAAAAGGAAAGCAATTAAGCAGAAATTAGAAAGGAGGACATAAACTGTACTGCTCAGTTTTCCAGCAGCAAGGACAGCATATTTGCAAATCTGGAATTTATAAGAGGCCATTTTTTATAAGTGTAGATCAGGCTTCCAATCAAATTACTAGTACAATGTAAAACCTTTGTGTAAAACCTTTGAGAGGCACAGATCTATCAGAGAATGGTATATATCTTTACTCTATTTTGCTGCCCCCTTCTGAATTACTTGTGAAATTCCCTGTTATGAGACAGGGCCTGCTTCCCTCTACAGAAGCTGAAAAATGACAGAAACTTGCTTTCCCTCGCTCCCTTGCAGGTGAGGCATGTACACAGAAGCTAGGCCCCACTAATGACATGCACCTAAAGCTCTGTCTACCTTTCAGAGGCCGCAAGGCCTACTGTTAGCGAGATCAGCATTGCAATGTGTCAGCTAGTCCTCAGCATTAGAAGTGGTATCACTTCTAAATCAGTAGTATGAGATAATTTTAAGCATCGTTCCTAACTGTATAAACTTACAGCCTGGTTTTATCCTTCTCACGCAAACTTTTAATCTACCCTATTGTCTTAATAAGTTCCTTTTCTGTTGAACAGCCAGGGTAGAGTTCTATTTCTTCCAACAAGAACCCTATTTATGCAGAGGGAAACATACATTGTAAATAAATTCCTCAAACTGGGCTGTTCCACTAGTTTTGGGTTCAAAAGGCTCTGATGTGGGGCTTGAACATACATTTTTAACAAAAGGTCCATAGAGATTGTGTTGGTCTGTCAATATTAGAAAACAGTGAGTTAGGAAATGGCTATTTCAGTAATTTTATGTTGTATTGGACATTGTCCTCAACTTTATAATCTCAATGGTTATAACTCAAAGAAGGTATATATTCTGAAGGACTCCATTAAAACTTTGAGCTTAGATCTGACTATGTGTGTGTGTATGGAGGAACCTTTCATTTTGCTTGTAATGAAAGGCAGTGAAAATGACTTTCTTTCCTAGTAATGTGGAAGATGTCTCCTTTAATGGGCCCCTAAATTTTCTATGAAGCAATTGTGATCTCAAAAAACTACTACCAGCTTTATGAATTAAAAAAATGAATTATTTCTACTCAATGAATACTCAAGTTACTGGCTATGTTTTTATAAAGGTTTTATTTACTCTATGCCATTATATATATGAGAATAAAGTGAACCCTAATATAAAAGTAAGCCATGGTCCCTTCATGCATATATGGGTCTTCAATATTCTGCCTCTCTCATAATTCAATCATCTTTCCAAATTCTTTGCACTGCTAATTGCTTAGTAAATCTTTCCATTAGGAAAACGTAACAGAAAACTCTATTTTGCATAGCAGAATGTGCATCTAGTTGATTTGGTGATATTCATCAAGGCATATTCAAATGCACAAAATAGGCAAAACCACTTCATGTTACTCACTTGACTTCTTCTTTTCTCTTGATTGTGTTAACAAATAACATTCAACAGCACTGCTTAGGCAGGTAATGCTGACCTCTTTTCAGTATACCTCCAGGTTATCTTAGTGCTAATATTAGTCATAAAAAAATATAGAAAGAGCTAGACTTATGAGCCTCCATTTTACTAGTAACCCTCTGATGCTGGGAAAAAGCTCTGCCACTACTTCAACTACAACCTCATTATTCACATGCTCTAAGTTCTTAATGAATTTCATCAACAATTCAATTTAAGTACATTAAGTTGCTGTCACTCCTTCAGTAAGATCAATGAGTATCACTGAGGGAGGTATGGAAATAGTTTTCTGAATCTTCCCTAGAACAACTCAAGGCAAAAATCAGATTCAATAAAATACACTTTTAGTAAGGAAATAATGAATAGTGAAAAGAAAGATCCAGCAAATCTGAGATTTAAAAAAAAAAAAATCAAGGCCTGACCACTTAATATGTGTCATCCAGGTCACATTTGTTTCTAAAACCTCAAAGAGCTATTGTGAGGTTTACATGTAATAACATAAGTAAAGGTAGAGTATATTATTTGGTAGCTTGTATAGACAATCAACAAATGGTAATATTATTAATTTTTAGTCATTAAGTGTGGTTCTCATTTTTTTAAAAGCCACTGCATTTATAGAATGATATAGCTAATAAGTTGCAGAGTAAAATATATCTAAAAATTCTAGCCAGGTTCATGTCAGAGACCAGGGACATATCTTAAAATGGTTGCAAGAAATATAGTGATGAGAGAATTTTGAAAAAAGAAAGGCAATCCATTTAAATGTTATTAAAAAAAAAGGACTCTACTATACTGGAGAATTTTCTCTGTTTTATGTTTTGGCCTTATTGATTTCTATTATACCCTTACTCCCAAAGTAATTTCATAGACCACAGATCAGCAAGAGGCATAATATGGTCCAGTGCTTTATGTCACTACTTCCAAATATCTCCTTTTCATCTATTTGTATATATACTTTTAGCACTTGTACTCTGATCATGGATACCATTTGTTGATCCTGAAGCTTTGAGGAAGAGAAGGTGCAGGGAGATATGAATGAAGGGAGACCGATGCTATTCAATTCAGTTTTAATGACTCAATTCAGTAAACATGGATGATGTTCTACCTATGCTGCAGGAGCTATGGAGCTCACTGAAGAGTCAAAGATGAGCAAAACATAGTCTCTGCCCTGAAAGAGAACATTTTGTTTGTATACAATTCTACCCAGCAGAAGGTCTATAAAAACATAATCTCACTCTGAGTAAGCAGAGTTAACATGATTAAAAGTTAATAAAAAGAAAGCCTTCCAAATTTATTGGGGTCCATTTAAAAATACTGATTGGGTATGTTATGTTTTAACAACTTAGTAGAAACCAGTCACTATTTAAATTTTCTCACTAAATCACACAGAAACCAGGTTTATATATTTAGTGAAGTCATGGAAAATCTGCCATTAAAGTGAACAATCTCCAATCTAGAATGCAATATTCTTTTGGAAAAAAGAAAACTAAATGTCATAAAGATTAAAAATAATAAACTTTGTGACATTTTGACTTGAGAATCAAAGAACTTCAAAATCTAGTCCTTAATGTTTTTACAAAAGAGTGTTCTTGAGAATATCATTAACTTTGAGTCCTGCATATCTATACTAATAAAAGGGTAATATGCTAATTAGGCGAACATCTTCCAGACAACCTTCTGGACATCCTTCCGGACAAAGCTGCAGCAGCTGCAAGGGCCAAAGCTCAGGCAGCCACGGAGGCTGCGTGGGCCCAGGCTCAGGCAGGCAGTGGCAGCAGCAGTGGGGTCATGGGGGCAGCGCCTTCCCCTGATCCACCAGGTCGCCTCCCGCAGAGGGAGGCCAGACTATGGCTTAGGCTGGGGGCCAAGGCACAGGCAGTTAGGGGCGATCCGGCTGGTGGAGGAGCAAGTTAGGGGCGATCAGGCCAGCAGGCAGAGGCAGTTAGGGGGGGATCAGGCAGGCAGGCAGAGAGGTTAGGGGTGATCAGGCAGGCAGGCAGGTGAGTGGTTAGGAGCCAGAGGTTCCAGATTGCAAGAGGGATGTCTGACTGCGGATCGGGCCTAAACCGGCAGTCGGACATCCTCCGAAGGGTCCCAGATTGGAGAGGGTGCAGGCCGGGCTGAGGACACCCCACCCCCGTGCACGAATTTCGTACACCGGACCTCTAGTCTTATATAATATTCTACTATCAACAGTATACTGAACAAATGTCTTATAGCTTCATCTAATGGAAACATCTTTAATCTCTATTGGGAACTTTCTCAGTCACGCATAGTTTATTTGAAATCTAAAAGTTCTTTTGGTTCTGTCAGACTAAAATAGGTTATTAAAACTAGAATTTTATACTTACCTGATCCTCCTTTTGTCAAGTATTTGTTCTTTGCATAAAGAACAGAATCTAACATAGATTCGAAAAGAAGAAAATAACCCTGCAGAAAACAGAAAAAAAAAAAAATTGAGTTTGGAAATGTGTAATATCCTTACAGAAAGATCAGTTTAAATATCTGCCTACTCTTTTAATAAAAATATATATACTTTGTCTATGCCACAAAATATTCTGCAAAGTTTGAAATTATTTTTTGTAATAAGTTCTCTACATAATAATTGTAGAAAACCAGGCCAGGGTATAAAGTGAATCCAGAAAATTTATTACGGTAGAATCTACTGAACCATTTTTTATCTGAGCTTCTACTTTCTAGACTATTGTTTCTTTCTCATTAAAGAAATGTTTCAGATGGAAATTGTTGACAACACCTGTAACTCTCCAGAATATTGCAAAATTAATCTAGAGTGGTTCTTAAGATTTTGCTCTCGGGGGACGTCTGGATGCATTTTGATTGTCACAAATGGGGATGGGGTGGAGGGATGCTACTGGCAACTGGTAGAGATAGCCAAGGATGCTGATGAGCATCCTATAATGCACTGAAAAGCCCCCATAACAAAGAACTATTTGGCCCCAGATGATATATCCTGGTTGATCTGTCCTGGTCTAGAACATCATTTTCCAAACAGTTTTCATGCCCCAGTGACTTTCTCTTTGGCTAAAAAAAAAAGGGGGGGGGGGGCGGGGGCGGGGAGAGTTGGCTTTAATACAAGAGATTTGAGAAAGACCAGATGCTAGGGATTCATAGTGCACATTGGCACAATAAGAGTTCTAAGAAGTGTTAAGGTAAAGAGCACTGAGGAACATATTTTAACCACTCTTTGACTAGACACCTCTTTTTTTCTATTTAACAACTATCAACACCTTGCACAGCTAGTGTTGTTTGAAACACAGCCCCAATACACTCCAGATTTTAGAGAACAGTAATGAATCCTCTGCCAAGATAGGAAAACCATAGGTCAAAAGAAAAGATAACTTGTCCCTACTGGTGTCACAAGCACAGTGCATTCTAACAGTATGCTATGGTTTATTAAATAAATGACAAAGTAATCATAAGTGAGAGGTTAATGCCAGTTTCAGTTAGTCTTTCTCCTTCTAGGGGCCCATCCGCCAACAGCCCTGATAAGCAAGGAAAATTAAGTGCTCGGTGCAGAGCTTAGCACATACTACATCTATTGGTTAGGGTGAACCAATATGAATTTTACCCTGATGTTAGCATTCTAACTCAAAAACTGTTCTCACTCATTTGCTTTGTGTACAAATAACTGTTTGACAGGATAAATACAACTGCCTTTAACAACAATAAAGTTTTTTTTAATGGTTTCTCTAGAACAAGAAAATGCAAATCCGAATGGATAATCTTCCCAAGAGATTAACCGCACATTTAAATTACAGAAAATACAGCTCTCATGCTTGAATCACTTATGAAGGAAGCTAATTAAATTGCCGCTAGCAACTCTATTTTGGCATTTACCCCCAACACACTAATTCATTGATAAGAAAATAATTGCCTACAAAAGAAAGATTTTGCAACAAAGCTTTTACCAATCTATTTACATTAGGAAAATTAAGGATTTGGTGGAAAGTCTTTCTCTAGATAGATTTCTTCAGTAATATGTCTAACTCTTACAAGTTAGTTCCCCTTTAACATCATTTGTGTATTCAAAGCATAAGAGATTTTTGGAATTCAAATAAATCTTTATCAATCTGACATGACATACAGATCTATGCACACAAATGCTAATAAATAAGCATTCATCAACTGACTAAGGTGAATAATAATTTATGCTAAGAAATTATTAAAAGAGGAGGCATCACCCTGGCGATTTTTGCTCAGTGGTTAGTCAGCCTTCAGATCAAAGGGTTGTGGGTTCGATTCCAGTCAAGAACATATTACCTTAGTTGCAGGTTCCCTTACTGGGGTACCTGGGGAGGCAACCAATCCATATATCTCTCTCCTATCAATGTTTCTTTCTCTCTCTCTCTCTCTCTCTCTCTCTCTCCCCCTTCCACTCTTTCTAGAAATCAATGGGGGGGAAAAAAACACATCCTGAAGTAAGGATTTATAACAACAACAACAAAACAACAAAAGAAGAGGCATCCATTTGCCCTACAAGGAAAAGATCAGCTGATAAAACATGTTAATAGGCTGAAAAAAAAAATGGTTCCTATTTGTAAGAGTGCTGAAGGTTTAAAGAAAAAATAAAATAAATTCACATTTTGGTACAAATTAAGTACTCATGATATGCCAATCATTTTTGGAAGGGGGTATTAAAAACTGTTACTGATTTGGCACTGTGTCAAAACTGTTTCTAGTATTACTCTTTCAAAGCAGTTAGCTAAATCTAAGTATTTTGCTTCCATATGCTCAAATACCATCTTACTTTCATGTATTACAAACCAAAAAAAAAGTCTTTAATCAACAGGTTAAAGTACATCCTTCTAGCAACACGTTCCTTTATCGCATTTAAGATAAAGATATTATTAGCCATTCATCAGAGATTAAATTACACTGTATTTTAAATTGATATTATGGTCAATACCAATGGTATAGTGGTTGAGAGGATGGATTCCTGGATTTAATCCCAGATGAGCCCCTTTTTCTATTGGCTAAGTTAACATCATTATGCCTCAGTTTCTTCATCTGTAAAGTGACAGTGACAATGACATTGTATTTCATATAGCTGTTGTGAAGATTAAAATGTTCATACATGTAAAAGGTTTAGAACAATAAATTTTACTAGCCCAGATGAAAAAAATTAAGAGCTATGTAAAAAACATATTTGTAAAGGCTAATCAGAATTCTGAAATTATGTTTAATATTAGAGAATAAAGGTTTACCAGACTGTCCAGATTGATGTATTAACATTTATTTAGTGAAGAGTCTTATATTACAATCCAGAGTAAGAAGTAAAATTCCTTTTTCCCCAGGAGTTAATCAGAACACATTTTCTTGTGTCACTTCTTTTTTCACATCAGCCAAGACTATGTGTATGTATATACACACCAAAATATGTAGTAATATATATATCTATAGATACATCTGCTAAAAAATTATTTAAAATTAATAAAATTTTTAAAACCCTATCAAAACAACTTGATCAATTGGACACATTAGAGACAATTCCAAGATTCTTCTTAAAAAGATAATCCAGGGATTTTTCCCCTCCCCTGGGCTAAAAAATCAATTTTACTTAGTACTCTGAACTGGTATTTATAAATTAAGACTTTCCCATCCATTTGCTTTCATTTAATAACATAAAAACCAATAGGCATTTTCCTACTTACCCCTTCATGATTACCTTAGCTAAGATTAGAATCCTGATAAGATAATATTAGAGATGGTTTCTAAAGTTCTAACTATTTAAAACAACCTAATTTTCAGATGAGAGAAATCAGTCCTAGAGAGGTTAAGTAACTTATTTTAAGTCATGTTGATGGAAAAATAACACTGGACAATTTTTAGCATCTCTTACAAAACAGTGGCCTTAAGATTCAATTCCCAATGCTGCTAAACTCAATAGTGAGATAGACTGCAAACAAACAAAAGAAAGGAATCATCATCCCTGGCACCAAAAATACCTTTTCATAAATGCCATGTCTTTGCTTCTCATTTTTTAGAATCAGCCAACACAATAGGGTCAGAGAATTTATGAAAGTAAATGATCAAATGCTCTTCCTGATATATGTAAAGAAAGCATTCAGCACAGTGCCTGGCACAGAGTTAACACACAGACCATATCACAGAGCTCTTTAATTCGGTGGAAGTCACTATATGGGAGTCAACTACTAGAAGGTAGAACTAGACTAAGCTATATAGAAGAAGGACACAGCAAGTCTTTTCCCATTTTTTTTTTTTATCATTTTTGCTCTTCACTGGTGTATAATTAAAAAATACTGCCTGGTCGGCATGGCTCAGTGGTTGAGCGTCGACCTATGAACCAGGAGGTCACTGTTCAATTCCCGGTCAGGGCACATGCCCGGGTTGTGGGCTCAACCTCCAGTGTGGGGCATACAGGCAGCCGATCAATGATTCTCTCTCATCGTTGATGTTTCTCTCTCTCTCTCTCTCTCTCTCTCTCTCTCTCTCTCCCCCCCCCCCCCTTCTTCTCTGAAATCAATAGAAATCTTTAAAAAAAAACCAAACTTTTGTCTGGTGGGTGTTGGTCAATGGTTGAGCATTGACCTATGAACCAGGAGGTCACAATTCAATTCCTGGTCAGGGCACATGCCAGGTTGCGGGCTTGTTCCCCAGTAGGGGGCATGCAGGAGGCAGCTGATTAATGATTCTCTCTCATCACTGATGTTTCTATTTCTCTCTCCCTCTCCCTCTCCCTTCCTCTCTGAAATCAATAAAAAAATATTTTAAAAACAAACAAAAAACACGATACTTTCCTCTAGAAAGTATGTGTTTTGCTTTCTAAAATTAAAAATTTCAAATAATAGTGGTGATGACTGTTAAAGTTCATTATGTTAAATGTCTTTATATGAATCATCTTATTTAATTCTTCCCTAAAGCACATTATTATTTCCATTTAACTGATAAGAAAACAAAGCTTAAAAATGTTAAATTACAACTTAAAATAAGAGGACTTAAAAAACAGCTCATAATCATGGAAACAGCTGAATCAGCCAGGATGTGAACCGTGGTGTAAAAACACAGGCCAAGTTCTGAATCATTATTTTATGTTGCTTCTTAAATTGATTTGCTGGATTGAAAATGAGATTTAGTATGTGCATTGTACTAGTTATAATTAAGTACTCAAATGTTCTGAAATAAAAAATTTCCCATAGAGCATATTAAACAAGAATTGAATTTACAGTAGATGTATGATTCATAGTATTTCAAATTGATAGTTTAGTTGGCAACTATTACCACCATTTTATTGTAAAAATTATCAATTTAGGAAAATCAATTGAAGTACCAGAATATATGTAGAATCAATATATGATATTTGTGAGCTAAATTAATATACCTAATTAAAAATATTAACAGATGAGAAGATTCATATAATATTGTTAATGGTTATTGTCCTTTCTCTCAAC